GAGGTTTTCAAGAATCTCACTGTACAGCTGACATATCCCCACATATTACTGAAAAGAGTGTTTAACCTTTCAAGATGACATAAGCACTTCCTTTTCTCTTTCTCTGTTTACTTCTTTATAAAGAGTTGTCTTTTTTCAATATTCTGGTTTCAGGCTTGAAACAAAAGGTGAGAAAGCGTTCATCTGTTATGATGGTTTGGGTCTGACTCATTCAAATGTTTTGGAATGAGGCATCTGTCATTCTCAAAAGAATATCGTTTTTGGTAAAAACCCATGAGTGTTATTTGGAAATGTTTGTAAGTGGTGCTGGTGATAGGTATTTATACATGGAATGGACTTCCCAGAAAGGTTCACCTGGACTCCAACATTGCGTTCTTTCTGGGACCAGGTGAAACCTACTTATTTTCCTAGGAATTTTATTTCTCTGCTTTAAATCTTTGTACTGATACTAGGCTTTACTCTGGCTTTTATTTTATTCTGTAATTTAAAATATTTAAATTTTACACTGGATTGTATGCTATATTCTATGATTTTAAATAGTTGTGAAGCACTCAGAATGCCTTGGTTCTCAAATCTAATAAAAAAAATTACTGTGATAGCTTGGATACATTTCCCTTTTAATAGATGTTGTCTCTGCTTGATTTTTGTGGCTTAATTCTTTTAGTCAGATTCTGACATAGATAGCCCAGCTGTTGTTCTAAGAGTTTTTTCCTCCTCCTCTGGGTTTATTTGGAAAATTAAGGATGCTTCGCTATGCAAATATAGACAGAAAATGCTCCAGCCAGCACAGAGTGCATGCCAGGTATGTGAACATAGGATTGTATCCTTAGTTGTGCACAAATATTAATTAGGAAACTATTCACTTGCAAGTGACTTTTCTCTGCCAGGCACTCAAGACTGGAATGTTGAGGATGAGGGGTGGACTCTCCATGGGGTGAAGTTTTTAAAGTATTGTTTATTTTTAAAATGTAGCAGCATTAGAAAGTTTGTATTGGAGATACATATACTGTGTAAGCTTATACCTTTCAATTTGTTGGCATGCTTAAAGAGACGAACTTGACTTTAATATTGTATGATATAAAAAAATCAATGTATTGAAAAGAAAGTACACTCAACCACTTAAATACATTTTCATTATAAATGTAAAATGCTTGTTTTATGTGTTTAGATTTCTGTGTACATTCATACTATCTAGTTACACATGAAATTTTAGTTATATGCTTTGCCTTCTCAAAAACATTATTGGGAATACCAATGAGTGTGGCTATGGATTGTCCATTCAGGAGTTCCTATAGAGATTGTCATTAATGAGCACCCATATGTCAACATTTGTTGCTGTTATTTATTATTTTAGTTCACATTCATTCATTCCAGATATTGAAAGACGTCAAGAGCAAAGTTATCTAGAGCAAACACTTGCATGACTGCTACTTAGGTTTCATTCATTATCTTCTCCAGAGAGTGGTTACAAATGAAATTTGGTTCCTCCCCCCCCCCCCCATTTTCTCTTATATTGTCAGGCTTGTTGTCACCTAATAATCTCTCTGTGCTGCAGAAGCACAATTTTAAACATAGAGATAGCATCCTTACGGGAACAAAATCAGCTTTGCCTTGAGAGAGAAGACTGAAGGGGGAAGGTGTGTGTGTGTTAAACTGACTTCTGACTTCTGTATTAGACAGAAGACCCGTCTGATGTTATCTTTGCAGTGTGGGAGCTGTTACAGTTCTTCCTTTTTGTGGTGGTAGCAGCCACTGGTCATGCGAGAGGAGCACTTGCAGTGTGACAAATTCCCGACTGTTGTTTCCTTTTTTTAAAATAAGTTTTATTCTGAATATATACCTAACAAACTCCCCCCCCCCAAAAAAAAAAACTAAAAAGCATCAATCATCGAAAACATCGGACCTACTGGGTCAGCCCCCAACATTTTTTTCTTTTTATGTTAAACTATAAACATATTTAAGTCTATGAGTAGTCCCGTTTCTCAAGCCAATGATAAAAAGAGTCCCAGGTTTGATAGAAATCTGTATCTTCTTTCTCCTTCAGAGACAAAGTCAATCCATTTCCGCACAGTCCAAGATCTTTTTTAGAATCAGTTCATTGGTAGGTGGCTTTTCACTCTTCCAATGTTGGGCAAATGCAATCCTCGCCGCAGTAGTTACATGTAAAGTCATATACATTGCTTGTTTACTAAGATCATCAGATACAATGCCTAATAAAAAAAACTTCGGGTTTAAATGTTAGAGGTTTTGTAACATTTCCTCAAGCCATTTGTGTATTTTAATCCAATATTTTTTGCCTTATCACATGTCCACCACATATGATAAAAAGTACCCAATTCATGTTTACATTTCCAACATCCATTTGACATATTTAGAAACATCTTAGCTAACCTATTTGGCGACAGATACCATCTATAAAACATTTTATACAGGTTTTCTTTATATGAAGTTGCTAATGTTACTTTAATATTTCTTTCCCACAGCTTTTGCCATTTCTATAACTCAATATTATATCCAAAGTTTTGCGCCCACATTATCATAGTTTCTTTAACTGGTTCATCTTCCATTCTCCTATCTAGTAGGAAGTTATACAATCTTTTAATCATTTTCTCATCTGATTTAAGAATCACGTGATCAAATGCTGTTGGCTCCCTATAAAAGCCCCACATTCTATAGTCTTTAGCATATCTCGATTGCATTTGAACCTTGTGCCACCAAGAAATATTAATTCCTTGTTCTTGTTTTTCTTGATGCAATTCTAATCCTCCATCATTATCCAGAATATCATCATATCTCACGATCGTATCAAAATTCAATGCACTTGGATATACAAGAGCTTCCATAGGTGAAAGCCATCTTGGTCATTTAGTATACAGTTTTAACTTTAACTTTTCCCACACCGACATTAATGATTTCCTAATATAATGATTTAAGAAACAACTGTGTACCTTACACTTTTCCTACCACATAGAAGTGTGCCAACCCATTTGCAAATCATGCCCTTCAAGATACAAGTTTCTCTTATTTCTTAAAGTTATCCGTTCTGGACTGCTGTTTCCCATGGCAGCCTGATGCCATTGCACAGTTTTCTGGAATGGTTTGTCCTGATGTGCAAACTAGCTGCATTACAGCATTTCCCCACATGTGAAGGATCTGTGCTGGAGCAACACCTATAATTAAGAACTGCAGGGATGCGCAACCTGAAGCCCCAGTGCCAGATGTGGCCCTTGGCCTCATTTTATGCAGCCCTATCAATTGAATTAGTGGTTGCCTGGAGAGTGTGATGCTAGTGGGTGGCTTTTAAACAAATTCCATAAACAGACTCCTGGATGGGGAGAGAGAAGGGGTGTGGAATGAGAGAGGGAAGGGTGGTGCAGAAAGCAAAAAGAGGTACCTCATTCCCTTTTCACTCTGGCCCTGCCTTCAGCCCCATCTTCACTTCTTAGTGGCCCTCAACATGTTCTTTCCAAGGGAATACAACCCTAGGCAGAAGAAAGGGTGCCCACCCTTGTACAATAGTGGCATTAAAAAGAGTCATGTTAGTCTAGTGCCAGCAACTAAGAAACGTATCTGCTGTGAATGAATGAGGCTGTCGTTCAGGGCCAGGGTGACACCAACTCTTCAGATGAGGATGGTGAAGCCTGGGAAGGGAGGTCTGTAGACACAGAGATGGTGAAATAGGAAGAGCGTATCTCAAGGCCACCATCTCCACGTGTTCAGACAGGCTCTCAGAACAGTCAGGACCTGGAAGTGTTGAGAGAGGACATTGGAAAGGAGCCAGAGGAACCTGGTCTGATCCTTGACACCCCCCCCCCCCCGGCTTTGGGAGAGAAGTGCTAGCCAACTAAGAGGGCCTGCATACAGCTAGGAAGCTTGCCTGTCTCCAGAGGGCATCCCCAGAGGGTTACTCAGAAGGAGGTTTCTTGCAGATAGTTTCTAGTTTGGGTTCAATGAACTTCTCTGTGCATGCTCAGAAATTTTTTCATTGCTGGCCATAGCTTACTGGATAAATGTTGGGAAAAAATAAACTTTTATCAAAGAACTGTCTGTCTGAAAAGGAGAAGGGGGAACCTAGCTCCTGAAAGTTTAGGAGGTCAGGCTAATGTTGCAGTTCAAGTTAAGTGCGCCCAGTCAGGTGTGAACTCCTCTCCTCTCCTCTCCTCTCCTCTCCTCTCCTCTCCTCCTAATTTCTCTAGCCTTGCACTTCTTGGGCCTATGTTTCATTTTGCTTTCTGATAACATCTATTCTTACACAAAACAGAACATCAATTTTTACCAATTGTGTGCTGCCTTTGTTCAACAGTATTTAACAATGCTATCAAAGTGCTGAGCAAACTTCCAGTTATATTATCTGGAACTTTTGTGTGCAGATGATTTAATAAATGAAATGCACCTTCCCCCTGAATGCCTGATGGCCCTATTTGCATACTTCCCGCATATCTTTTATTTTCTTATTTTGAGGGATAGTGTGCACATTTATGTGACTGGATGGAGGTTGCACCTTGTGTGTTGTGTTACTATGTCATAGATGAGAAGGGACATAGCAGCCTTCTAAGGTTCCAAGTAATGGACAAACTGGGTCATATATGGGATATTTGTGTGCGACTGTATTATTCTATCTGTATTTGCTGTTGCCTTTCACGGGTTTTGGAGAGAAGTAGGATCCTTCCTTGAGGCTGCTGTCCAGTACCTGGCAATAAGCCCCACTGAATATAATGGGAGTTACATTTGAGTGGATATGTGTACAATTGCATTAAAATCTATATTAGAATTCCTCCTTTGAACTAAACTATAGCATTGTGTGTTTGAAATGTATATTCTAATGGGAGCAAAGATCCTAGAAGCACTTTGATATATTAAATAAATAATCATCTGGCTACCAGATGACTCCCACTTTTCCCAAGTGAAAAAAAAACAATCCCAACGTTTATCCATACACTGTTTAATTTCTAATACCGATTAATTTCTCCATTTAATTTGTTCTTCATTTTTTTCTCTAGGAGAAGCTAAAAACCTTCCTACATATCCAGGGCCAAGCAAGATGAGAGATTGCTACTGTACTGTAAACCTGGACCAGGAAGAAGTTTTCAGGACCAAAATAGTGGAGAAATCTCTATGGTATTTTTTAAATTAAAGTATTACAGCAGTTGTATATTTTAAAAATGTATTTAAGTATTTATGTCCCACTCTAGAAGGAAAAAGCCTTCAGCAGAAATACCATCTGGAAAAAGTAACATTCAATAAATTCAATTACATTTTTAAAGGTTATGCATTAAGTCACTTAGAGTACTATCCTGTGCATGGTTAGACAGAAAACAAACCCTACCATTCCCAGCATTCCCAGAACTTTTTTCTGTGTAAACTAGTCTGGGATTGTGACATTACCATACCAGTATCTCTCTGTAAGTACTTCAGAGGGTGTCGCAAAGAAGGTCACAGTCTCTTCTTGCTGATACCAGCGTGTAGGACACAGAATAATCGAGTCAAGCTGCAGCAACTGAGGTTCAGGCTAGATATCAGGAAAAGTTTCCTCACTGTCAGAGCAGTATTACAGTGGAACCATTTGCCTAGAGAGGTCATAGGCTCTCCCACATTAGAGACATTCAAAAAGAAACTGGACAGACATCTGGGTGGGATGGTGCAAATTGGTGTCCTGCACCAGCAGGGGGTTGGACCCGATGGCCTTCATGCCCCCTTCCAACTCTACTATTCTATGATTCTATGAAAAGGGAATTGTTTAAACCTGACTTCTCCATCCTGCAGGCCTCAAGTTGTGTTGGACAACAAATTACATCATTCTCAGCCAATATAGACAACAATCTGCTGGATGGCAATGATGAGAGTTGCTCCGTTATGGTGGATCTAATTGAACAGAGGAACAAGGATTAGTACTAAATTCTGATGAAACTATTTTCATTGCTCATCCTTGCTATATGTTCTCCACAAAAGCTACACAAGTTAGCGTTTTAGGTTCTGGCTCTTTTCTGTAATCTGTTTGCCTTCTTTCAAAATACATTAAGTAACTTGTTCATCTAAACCAGCCAACATATTAACCTTTCTAGTTTGGTCCTCTTTTTTTTTTTTTTTTGACCAGATGAGTTTCTTCCATGTGGTATTGGGGGAGCTCTGGTCAACCCATGCCATTTGTACTGTAGTATCCTGCTGAGTTCTTTTCTGTTTTCTGTGTTTTAATACCTATTTGAAGCTTCTTGGGGAAGTCATCAGGGCATGGTGCAACAGAATGCTAACAGCATCTACTTCTGTGTCTCCTTATTTGGATTGGGGAGGCCATGCAGATGCCGCATTGGTAACTGGAAGTGATAGTAGGTTGGGGTGTGGGTTAATAGACTGAATCCTAAGAAGAGCCCATAAGGTATAATGGTTAAAACATTGGACTGAGACTTGGAAGACCTGAGTTCAAGTTTCCATTCTGCCAGGGAGTTTACTTTGTGACTTTGGGCAACTCTCAGCCTAACCTACTTCATGGAGTTGTTGTGAGGGCAAAATGGAGAGAAGGGAGAACATGTGTGATTCCTTGGGCCCACTGGTTAAAAGGCAGAATAGAAATGTAACAAAATTAATAAGACATAGCTCCTTTGCATAGACAGTTCTTAGGTCTAGGACTTGGTTAGGAAGCCTGGCCCCTTGAAAGAGTGGGTATGTGGTCTAGGGCTATTCTTTAATCCATCTTTGTCATTGGAAGTCTAGGCAGCACAGCTCCAGCTATGATTGAGCCTGGACAGGGGTAGCTTTGCCACAGCAACTCATACTCTGGTTTTCAGATTGTTAACAGAGCCAGGCATTTGGGCCTGGCCAGCTGGGTTCTTTTTCCTGGTATTTCCAGATGTTTCAGACTTCTGGTCAGTGGACTGGAGTGATGGGATCTATAGTCAAAAACATTTGGGGAGACGTTGCATCTGAATAGGCCCTTGGGGTAAGTGCTTTGCTGTTGCCTATGGAATCATGGCTATCCTAGCCTACAATTGAAAAGGAAAGAAATCCCATTGAACTAGAAGGGGCTTACTTTAAGTAAGCATGCCTGGGTTGTGGGAGTAAGTTTGCAGTCCTGTAGGACATGCCTTTGGAAATGTTCCATTGAAATCCATGTGACCTACAAGTAAATGTATTTGGAGGCTTTAACTGTCACTTGAATCCATCCCTCTTGCTTAGAACATGAAACTGCTTGGATAGTCTTTTTACATTTCGGAGATCATTAAAATTGCTTACAGGAGGGTTTACTGTCTTCATTGACGTCACTTCACTGGGTTAATCCAATAACCCTTTCCTATTGAGAAAATAAGTCCTTTGAGGGTGGAGAGAAGAAGAAAAATGCTATTTTTAGCCTTTCCTATAAAATTCAAATGGTACATGGAGGTTGCTCAGTAACTGCTGTGCTTATGCACAGCAAAAACTCATTTAACTGCACGATTTAACCAGGGGATGTTTCCTGCTCCTCAGAACCCTGCACCACAACTTACTCCATAGCATACCTGGGAACAAACCCCAATGAAAAGTGGGGTGGTTGTTGTTGTTGCTGTTTAATGTAACACTATGCGAACTTTTGCATAAATCTTTATGTAGCATGGTCAGAAATTCTCAACATGCAGCTGCTCTTAACAACCTACCCTAAAGGTCAGCCTGAGGGAGGACGCTATCAGTGGCTACTAGCCTTGCAGACTTTGTGCTGCCTCCTTTATAGGAGGTGGCAGGCCTGCATACACCAGTTACTGATGAGCTGGTATCCATCCTGCTAGAGGGATCCTGTGGACAGCTGGTTTGCCACCATGTATATAGAGTGCTAGACTAGATGGCCCTTTGGTCTGATCCAGCACCGGTGTTCTTATGGTCCTTATTGATGGCATTTTCCCAGATTTCACTCAACTCCTATTGCTTTGAATTTACACTGCTTATTTACTCTCTTAGCTACCTCAGTATCTTGCCTAGCCACTGTTCCTTTACTTCTAGAAACCATAGGAACCCCCTCTGCTCGCACAGGGAATCCCCCCATAACTCAGTTCTAGAGTGCCTGCTTTCTTTTCAGAATATTCCAGGTTCATTCCTCAGCACCTTGCGAGTCCAAGTCGACAGTACCAAGCTAGAGGAGCAAGGATACAGGACAGCTCTATCCATTCCTAATTGTTGCCATGCATTTTGTTCTTGTTCTACGAACCAAGATGTGGAAGTAGAGGAAGGGCCTAAAGCACAGATACAGGCCAAGGGGCCCGGAATGCACTTTTTAAACAGTATCTTCCTGGAACTTCACATGGCTACACTTCATTTTTATGTCCACACATGATTCTCAAATCATAATTTGAACAGCTGACAGCTTGGATGACGCACTTTCTAAGAAATGAACAATTTAATTTCTCTGCCCCTCCCCTACATGAAAAGGAAAAGGTGGTAAAGATTGTCTGCAATTACTTGCAGGAACTCTGAAATGGATTTAGGCGTTAATTAAATGTAGTGATGCCCTGTTCATTTCTGCAGGACTTATTTGCACACAGTTGGCACAGGAGCACAATCTCACTGATTTTAATAAAAGGACTCTGCAAGGTGTTGCAGGAGGGAGCAGCCAGGATATAAAGACTCTTGGCCATGTATTTTAAAATATTATTTCTCCACAGAGCTCTTTCTTACCTTCCACCCCATCTCTGTTCCAAATGCAACCGAAAGTAAATATGTGCGATGACATTTCTTCACACCTTTACTACTGATGTCTCTTCCTTCTGTTCTTTTTCCATTGTCATATGTTGGACTGTAAGCTCCTTGCAGCAGGGACATGTTCCCAGCCCCACTTTTTAATGATGCTTGTAAGCACCATGTACATTGGTAATGGCTCACGGGTAATAGTTAACAGCCAGGCAAGACCTTTGTGGCCTGAGGACCTACATACTTGGTCTAATGCACAGTAATTTTCCATTGCACCAACAAAACCATGTGATCCTTTCCTTTCTTCATTTTCAGTTGCTCATGAGCATAAATTTCTGTTCCAGTCCAAAACCTGAACCTGTAAAAGATGTGAATGCCTTATTCAAGCTGAACATATTTTAACCTTGAGAGATTTTTTAAAATCCTCTCAGAACTTTGTTCATGTCTGAGTGGTTTTGATCTTTTAATGTCATACTTCACTGGGACAGATTGTACACATTTAGGTATTTCTTAGTCAGAATTAGGCTTTAAGGACACAAATTCTGTTAGAGTTTCTTGTGAAACGCACACACTTATTTCAGTCTTGTATGCTCAAACATGGATAGAATTGGAACAGAGCACTGAGGAATTAGCATGTGTTGATTTATTGTTCGATGCTGTTTAAAAGTCAACATGCAATGGCAGAGATATATTCAGGCATAGGAATTTGTATGCAAACTTGCCCCAGTCCTTCACTTTACAAACATAAAATGATGAGGCATGAAACATAAAATTTTATGAATGTACGTTGCTACAGCATCAGTGACCTCAGATGAGATATGCTAGCTAATGTCGGGTAGAATTGGTTTTGGTTAATAAGTTTTATGTAGATACTTGCATAATGCCTTTGAAGTTTTTGTTGTCACATTGGCTTAAATTGTTTCTCCTGCAATATGATAATCAGCTTAACATTTTAAATTAATTAAAATGTAATATTTAAAATCTCATGGGTACACAACTTCAAAAAGACCCAACACAAAAAGAGGAGGCGAGGTAGAAATGTGAAGGAGAAGGTATTAGTTGGTCAGCTGGAAACAAAACCAGAAAAAGAGTACCGTATTTTTTGTTCTATAAGACGCACCTGACCATAAGATGCACCTAGTTTTTGGAGGAGGGATCCATGGAAAGCTTCCTGATAATCACAGGCACATTCCCCATCACTTCCCCATGGGCTTCATTAAAAGACGGGTTGCCATTTGAAAACACACACCGACCTGTGATTAACAGCTCTCACCTGCGCCGGAGGAGGGGGGCGGAGCAGGGCGTGCCGAGCGCATGCCGGCCAGGTGGTGCCACATGGTGCAGCTGGGCTGGCAGCGTGCCAGCAGTGGTCTTCTGGGTGGCGCGGCAGCAGCAGGTCTTCCCGGGCGGTGGGGGTGAGCAGTCCGTCTCTCCGTGTGGCCGGCGGGTTAAAGCCTGCGGCTCCTCCT